TGGGTGAAGGGCACCCACTCTGATGCCTGGAGGACCTCAAGGGTGGGACCTGCACCTTGGGTGGGCCAAAGGAACCCACCCAGGTGTCCAGAGGAGCTCCATGAGGGTGGCACCTGGAGGTTGGGTGGGTGAAGAGCACCCAACCTGATGCCTGGAGGACCTCAAGGGTGGGACCTGGAGGTTGGGTGGGCCAAGGGCACCCACCCCGATGCTTGGAGCTCCTCAAGGTTGGAACCTTGAGGCTGGATGGGTGAAGAGCACCCAACCTGATGCCTGGAGGACCTCAAGGGTGGGACCTGGAGCTTGGGTGGGTGAAGAGCACCCAACCTGATGCCTGGAGGACCTCAAGGGTGGTATCTGGACCTTGGGTGGGCCAAAGGAACCCACCCAGATGTCCAGAGGAGCTCCATGAGGGTGGGACCTGGAGGTTGGGTGGGTGAAGAGCACCCACCCTGATGCCGGGAGGACCTCAAGGGTGGGACATGGAGGTTGGGTGGGCCAAGGGCACCCACCCTGATGCTTGGAGCTCCTCAAGGTTGGAACCTTGAGCCTGGATGGGTGAAGAGCACCCATCCTGATGCCTGGAGGACCTCAAGGGTAGAACCTTGAGCCTGGATGGATGAAGAACACCCAACCCCGATGCCCGGAAGACCCCCCAGGAGACCTGGGTGGACCCCGTGGTGGGGTTGGACGAAGAGGACCCACCTCCATGGTGTAGTTGGTGTGTTTGTTGTCGAAGATGAGGGCCTCCTGGATGAGCTGGTGCTGCTGCTCCAGAAGGTCCAAGTTGGGTTTGTAGTCCACGATGCTCTGCTCGTACTGCTTGAGATGGTCCAACTGGTCCTCCAAGGTCCCGTTCATCTCGATGGAGATACGTCCAATCTCCTGCAGGACGGGTTGGGTTTAAATCCCACCTTTTTGGTCCTCACCAGTCCTCCCAGTTGAGATACTGGAAGCCTCACCTCCATCTTGGTCTGGATCCAAGGTCCCACCATGTTGGCTTGGCCGGCGAATTGTCTCCGGAGCCGCTCGTTGGACTGTTGTTTGCTCTGCTCGTCCAGGAGAGCGTGGTCCCTCTTGGGCACCAGCTGTTGGACCTGCCAGGAGAAAGAAGATGGTGGGAGGGGGGGGACACGGTGACATCAGAGCTGGGGGGGCCAAGAAAAGATGAAGATGATGATGATGGTTGGGGCCACCAGGGAATGGTGGCTCCAGAAAGTCATGGTTCTCCAGGAGCTTGTGGAACATCTGGCTCCAGGAGCTCATGGAGCATCTACTTCCAGGAGCTCGTGGAACATCTGGCTCCAGAAGCTCATGGAGCATCTCATTCCAGGAGCTTGCGGAGCATCTGGTTCCAGAAGCTCAAGGAACATCTGGCTCCAGGAGGTCATGGAGCATCTACTTCCAGGAGCTTGTGGAGCATCTGGTTCCAGAAGCTCAAGGAACATCTGGCTCCAGGAGGTTATGGAGCATCTACTTCCAAGAGCTCAAGGAACATCTGGCTCCAGGAGGTCATGGAGCATCTACTTCCAGGAGCTCGTGGAACATCTGGCTCCAGAAGCTCATGGAGCATCTACTTCCAAGAACTTGAGGAACATCTGGCTCCAGGAGCTCATGGAGCATCTACTTCCAAGAGCTCACAGAACATCTGGCTCCAGAAACTCATGGAGCATCTGGCTCCAGAAGGTTATAGAACATCTGGCTCCAGAAGCTTGTGGAGCATCTACTTCCAAGAGCTCACAGAACATCTGGCTCCAGAAACTCATGGAACATCTACTTCCAAGAGCTTGAGGAACATCTGGCTCCAGAAACTCATGGAGCATCTGGCTCCAGAAGGTTATAGAACATCTGGCTCCAGAAGGTTGTGGAGCACCTGGTTCCAGAAGCTCAAGGAACATCTGGCTCCAGGAAGTTATGGAGCATCTACTTCCAAGAGCTTGTGGAACATCTGGCTCCAGGAGCTCATGGAACATCTACTTCCAAGAGCTTGAGGAACATCTGGCTCCAGGAGCTCATGGAGCATCTGGCTCCAGAAGGTTGTGGAGCATCTGGTTCCAGGAGCTCATGGAACATCTGGCTCCAGAAACTCATGGAACATCTGGCTCCAGAAACTCATGGAGCATCTACTTCCAAGAGCTTGTGGAGCATCTACTTCCAAGAGCTTGTGGAGCATCTGGCTCCAGAAGCTCAAGGAACATCTGGCTCCAGGAGGTTATGGAGCATCTACTTCCAAGAGCTTGTGGAACATCTGGCTCCAGGAGATTATGGAGCATCTGGCTCCAGAAGCTCATGGAGCATCTACTACCAAGAGCTTGTGGAGCATCTGGCTCCAGAAGGTCATGGAGCATCTGGCTCCAGAAGCTCGTGGAGCATCTGGCTCCAGGAAGTTATGGAGCATCTACTTCCAAGAGCTTGTGGAACATCTGGCTCCAGGAGCTCCAGCCCCATGGATGACCCCTTTGGGGGGGCTGGTGGGACACACTCACCCGTTCCCACTTGGAGTTGATGATGTTGGGGGTGACGGAGGTGTAGGGGTTGTTCCCCGCCAGTTTGATGCCGTTGACGTCGGCGATGCGTTGGGCCTCCCGTTGGATGCCCAAGATGGCCTCCCGCTCCTTGTCGGCGTCAGGGAGGGTGGACTTGAACTGGTCGTGAGCGGCGATGAGGCCCTGGGGGGGGAGAAGACACGGGGGGGGACAGGTCAGAGCCTGGACCTGCTCTGAGCTCATCCTGACCTTCATGAGAACCTCCTTGGTCTTGTAGAACCTCAAGAGAAGCTCCCTGGGTCTTGTAGAACCTCAGATCGGAAGAGCACGGTCTTCCAGACCCCCATACTCTTGAAGAACCCCAAGAGAAGCTCCCCAGGTCTTGCAGAACCACATGAGGAGCTCCCTGGGTCTTCCAAACCCCCACAAGAAGGTCCCCAGCTCTTGAAGAACCCCAA